CCAGTCCTTGGTGGGTGGAGGGTGGATGTTCAGGCACTGGACACTCTGGAGAAGATGGAGGTGGTCTTCAGAGCGTGAGAGCTGCTCCACCTCAGTCCTTCTCTTGATCAGCTCAGAGATTTCCTGTTCCAGCTCTTTGATGAAGCCTTCAGCCTGTTGCTCTGTTGTTCTCTGCTTCTCTTCGATGGTGTCGATGAGCTCGTTTAGGCCTCTCTGAACAGACTGCATCAGAGAAGAGAAGACCTGAACACCTTCTCCTACCTCTCTGTCTGCATTTTCCTTGCTGAAGGTGACCGAGTGTTTGATCTCCTCAATCTTTAGTCGTCTCTTCTGGATCATCTGCTGAATTTCAGCCTCTGTCTTCCCCAGCTCGGCCTTCTTTCCTTCATATTCTTCCTTCAGAGGAACAACATCGTGCATCTTGTGGTCTAAAACAGTGCAGAGCATGCAGACACATGTCTGGTCGGTTTACAGAACAGCTCCAGAGGTTTATCGTGCTTCGTACACATCCTGCCTTCCAGGTTCTCCACAGGGTCGATCAGCTGATGTCTTTTCAGGCCTGAAGCTGTCAGATGAGGCTCCAGGTGAGTCTCACAGTAGGAGACCAGACACACCAGGCAGGACTTCAGGGCCTTCAGTTTGGTTCCAGTGCAGACGTCACAGGGAACTTCTCCTGGTTTGGACACTTGTTGCTCTGAGCTGCGTCTCCTTGCTTCCTGTTGCGCTTTCTCTCTAAACTGAGCAGCCATCTCAGAGATGAAAGTGTTGATGTGCAGCTCAGGTTTTGTGGTAAAAACCTCTTTACACATGGGACACTTCCATGCGACATTGACATTCCAGTGTTCAGTGATGCAGTTTTTGCAGAAGTTGTGTCCACATGGTATGGTGACAGGATCAGTGAACACATCCAGACAGATGCAGCACAGGAACTGATCTTCAGACAGCAGACAGCTGGCAGCAGCCATTTCTACACACCAAGAACAAAAGTGAAAGAGTGAAGAAATTCAAACAGAACTTTTTTGTTTGATAAAACAATAGGGACCTATGGTAGTTTAGCTGTTCTCCTGACTTTGCAGGACAAGACGAATAGTCACCATTGGTAAACAACCTGCTTAAAGGAGCCTGCTCAGTATTTAAGAAGAAATCAAAGATGCCAGAGCCAGAGGTGGAACTAAGTTCCTATTTTGAAATTTACTAGAAAGATTCAAATCTTCAGATGATTGAGGGACTAATTATAAGGACTTTTATGGTATGTCCCATACTAAATAAAAATATACGTTGGCATGTGTGGCAGACATTTATACTTTTTTAATGTAATAGCTGCACTCACCAGTGTTTGTCAGAGACACTGCAATATTGTGGAGAAATTCTGGGACTAAGTTTGTGAAATAACAGAAATTCTCAAATCTAGGAGACACTACTCCCAAGTCAAGATAAGAAAGTCTCAAATTTAATTGGCATCTGCATCTAAGAAGCCCTTGACAACTCCAGTCGTAGAATTCCCACCTCCTCATACCTAAATAACAAAGTAGGTTGATTGTCAATTGTCCGAAAATGACATATATACTCACTGGAAAGTACAACGAGAAAGTTACAGGAAAAAGTATGTGAAGTCTTTAGAATCACCTGTACTTCTGCATAAACTGGTTATAAAATGTGATCTGATTTTCATCTATGTGACATCAATAGACAAACACAGTCTGCTTAAACTAATACTACACAAACAATTATATGTTTTTAGTGAACACACCATGTAAAAATTCACAGTGCATGGTGGGAAAAGCCTGTGAACGTAGGAGCTTGAAGTCAGGAATAAGCCAACCTCGAGTCCAATCAATGACACGAGATTGGAGGTGTTGGTTAGAGCTGCCCTACCCTATAAACAACACACCAATTTTAATTTTACTATTCTCATGAAGCATTGCCTGATGTTACCAAGCCTCAAACAAAAGAGCTTTCAGAAGGCCTAAGATTAAGAAGTGTTGACTTGCATAAAGCTGGAAAGGGTTACAAAAGTACCTCTAAAAGCCTTGATGTCCATCAGTCCACAGTAAGACAAACTGTCTATAAATGGAGAAAGTTCAGCACTGTTGCTACTCTCCCTAAAAGTGGCCATCCTGCAAAGACGACTTCATGAGCACAGCGCAGAATGCTCAACAAGGCTAGTGAGGATCCTAGAGTGTCAGCTGAAGACTTACAGAAGTCTCTGGAACATGCTAACATCTCTGTTGACGAATCCACGATCCGTAAAACACTAAACAAGAATGGAGTTCATGGGAGGACACCACGGAGGAAGCAAATTCTGTCCAAAAAATAACACGTCTGAAGTTTGTACAAGAACACCTTGATGTTCCACAGCACTACTGGCAAAATATTCCGTGGACAAATGAAACCAAGTTGAGTTGAACACACAATTCTATGTGTGATTGCAAAAAAGCACAGCACACCAACATATAAACCCCATCCCAACATTGAAGTATGGTGGAGGGGGAATCATGGTTTGGGCTGCTTTGCTGCCTCAGAGCCTGGAAGGGTTGATATCATCAACGGAAAAATGAAGGACAATGTAAGACCACATGTCCGCCAGCTGAAGCTCAACAGGAGATGGGTGAAGCAACAGGACAACAAAGTAAATCACAGAACGACTTCAGCAGAAGAAAATACGACTTCTGGAGTGGCCCAGTGAGAGTCCTGACCTCAACCTGACTGAGATGCTATGGCATGCTGTGGCAAAAGAGAGATTCACACCAGATATCTCAAAAATATAGCTGAATTGAAACAGTTTTGTAAAGAGGAACGGTCCAAAATTCCTCCAGACCTTTGTTTAGGTCTGACGTGTAACTACAGGAAACATTTGTTGAGGTTACTGCTGCCAAAGGAGGGTCAACCAGTTATTTAATCCAAAGGTTCACCCTGCACTGTGAAGGTTTACAAGTTGTGTTCAATATGAAGATGAAAACATATAACTGTTTGTGTGGTATTAGTTTAAGCAGACTGTGTTTGTCTATTGTTGTTACTTAGATGAAGATCAGATCAAATTTTATGACCACTTTATGCCAAATCTAGGTAATTCCTGAAGGTTCACATACTTTTTCCTGCCATAAAATAAGGACATTACGTAAGACATCTACAAAACGTTATTTAACTTAAAACATGTTAAACGGGACTTGAACTTTGGTCTCCTTAGTGAAAGTCCTGAGTTTACTTGACATACCATCCACCCCACCACCTCCTTACACTGACTTTGACACTATGTCACCTGACTTCTTCTGCCACGAGAGGTCACAGCCTAACAAAAAAATAAAATATGGGTCGTAACAAGCTGGTGCATAATCAACTTATACGGCCATTTTTCTGGTGAGGACTGGCTGTAAAAGAGATGCAGTGATTTTGCTGAAACAAGAACTCCAACAAGCTGACAAACCCATAACCTGATGTATTATCAGCATAAACAGTTGTTGTGACTGAATTTTGTAACAATCTAAAATCGTATCTTGAAAAGTGTTCTCAAACACAAACACTGGTGCATCTAAATTTATTATGGTATTATATATTTTTTGAGTTACAAAACCTTAAGGACAAGAAAATGAACTGAATGATGCAATTCACAAGAAGTTACTGGCTTAGAACAGCTGACTTTAGTGTTAATGCTGGTTGATGGAAAAAGGGAAGGATCTGCGGATGCAGAGTTTCTGTCAGCTGCTTGACAGGGGACACATAGCAATATTAAAAAACAGTTTTCAACATTTAAGTGGCTTTTAAAAATTATAGTTAATTATTTGATCTGTCCATACTTGAGCACATTACAGGACACATAAGAAGATACAGGAAACTACCAGTTGTGCCAGATCTTTTTTAATGCAACAGTAAACATTAACACCTGTACTCACCAGTGTTTGTCAGAGTCAGAGACACTGCTATGTTGCTGAGAAGGGCCAGATGGGTTCTTGAATTTTCTTTCAGAGACTTGTCCCCACGACGTCTGCCTTGCTGTGGCTCTGACAAACTTTCAGTTTCATTTCAGGAAGTTTTATTTAACCTTGCCTCTCTTTGCTGTGACCAGTACGTAAATCCTTGTAGGCAGACTTTCTGTCAGGCTTATACTTCCCACACAGCAGCAGACAGCATTTGATTGGTGTAGCTTGTTGTGGGCTGTACATATCTGGAGAGAAGGGGCTGCTGGAGAGCCTGATACCAGGGAAAACAACAGCCTTTTCCTGCCTTATTCATTGCTCCTCCTCCTTACTGCAGCTCTGTTGCTGATGTTTTGTTGCGTCCATAAGGTTTGATTTAAGTGACATGTTGTTGGCCCAAGATTATTTTTATTTTTGTGGGAGAAAACACCAAAGTTGTGTAATGGTGTAGCTTTGTTACCCTATAGCCTCTGTCCACTATCCTCCAAAAGAAAATGAAATTCCCATGCGTCATCTGGCCATTTTTGTACAGTTTGAACATTACACTGGTTAGTATTGGTCAAATGTGTATATAATGGAAAGTATCTTGGTACTCATTAGTGAGTTTATACTTCACTTTATACTTAATGGTGTTTTCCAGAGCATCTGAGGGGATTTGGGGGAGGAAACAAATCACATTTCTCATGTTCACAAGAAAGTATCTGGGGCTGACAGGAAAGTGTCTGGTGTGCATGAGATAATATCAGAAAGTATCTGGTGCGCATGAGGTTTTTAATTTTTTTTTGCCCATGTCCCCCATAGGTTCTCCATAGTAAACAAAGACTGCAGATTAAAAGAGGATGTTAACTAAAACTGTGAATTCAGCAGAAAAGCTGTGTATTTGAAACAGGAGTTGTGTTGCTCTGCCTTGGTTCATACAGGGACATTTGAGCTAGTTACAAGTATCAATAGAATTTTTAAAAAATCTAATCAAATTTGACCAACAAGAAATTCTAAACCTCCCTCCCTGTCCCTCACTGCCGTTCACTCTGCTCATTAAGGCTCCTTTCAAATATAACAGATAATCCAAAGCTTCAAATCATTATATTGATTAAAGACAAAAATTATATGGTGAAACTAATTTAGCAACGTTACGGCTGTCTGTGTGTCACTGCTGCTATGTTTCTCCCTACATGTGTTACACTGTGAGGCGGGGGATTGGCTGGTCTTCGGCAAGTCTGGCTGATCCCGCCTCCCACATCCGACGATCCTGATTGGAGCGGTGCACCAACCCTTCTCCAATCGCCGAGCTGCCTGCAGGACCGCCTTCGTGCCTTCTCTCTCAAATAGGCTGGTCTGCTGCTGGGTCGAGGAAGCTACCTTTTACCATGTAGTTTGCCCCGACGCTGGTCCTAACCTTGAACTCTGTGTGTGCGTGTCCTCAGTGGAAACAACCATTTCTGTGTTTGTTAGATCTGTGTGTTACTGAGAGTTGGTAACTCACCTGGGCTGATCCCAGTATTTGGTCTACAGAATTGGGCTAGGGGAAGCTCATCACTGATCACTCACACCTGTTAGCAAATACTTGTTTTAGAGACACTAGGTTTAGGGGTGCTGCGCTCCCTGTGTTTTGCTTTTGAACAACGGCTAGAGAGGTTTTTGTTTATTCTTTTCGAGTAGTTTAGTAATCCCTCATGTAGGAGGGATCTCTTTTTGTTATATTTGGTTCTTTGTTTTACGCAGCACCCACTTGCCCATTTTCTGTTTGACCATTTTGTGTGTATCAGACTGTTTAATAAATAATCTTTCCACCCATACCAAATCCATCTGGTTTATGTTTACGTCTCTCCTACCCCTAGAGAGCGGGGACGTAACAAGCAACATCGGACTAAAAGACATGTTTTTCCCTCTTGTAAAGCTTAGGTGATTGACAGTATTTCAAAAACTGGAAATTTGCAGTAATCAGTTTATTAAATCATAAATATAATTACATTTTGAATCCATATTCCACCTTCACTTTCCACTAAATAGCTTTACATCAGAAAAGAAGTCTGTTTTAAGGTTTGGCATTAGAGTATACTTGCTATTTGTAACAATGGTAGGTCCAGCAGGGTTTAGAGCTAATTAATCATATTGGAAATTGGTGTTGCACCAATTTAAAGCCAAGTAATGGGAGACATGACATTTGAGACACATCAGTATACAACAAAAACAACAAAGTTTAGCACCATTTCAAGCTATAGTCAGTGGTCAGGAACTCTTAGGAGGAGGTGGTAATCAGCAACCACCTCTGCACTTATTATTCAGCTTTTCCTAATGTGATTTCACATGCTGTTTGATGATTGAATATGATTACCACAATATACTACATTAAAACTAACAAATCTTTTAGGATTTTTGTGAAATTGATTCTGAAGTAATCAAATTCATGGCTCAAGTCAG